AATGTGTTTGGCTTTCTGTGGTCACGCCCCATGAGAGAAAAGGTAGTGGACCGCATCCCTGAGCCACAGTGGGATGTGGGTGTGAGCAGCATTGCTCCTGGATAAGGCAGGAGTCTTTTCCTTGCTATGGCTGCCAAAGGAGAGCTGTACTTTCTCCTCTGAAATGTCTGGTGGAGCAGAGAGCATGGCAGCCCAATGTTGCCAAGCTGTTGTGCTTCCAGCAGCATGTGTAGGAAGATAATCGTAAGAGCTGCTTCAGATTTAGCAAAGGCAACTTAATAACCAAAACGCCAGAATAATTAAAGTCATGTCATTGACTCTCAGCCTGCCTACCCTGTGGGTGGAAACCTGTAGGGGATCTTCTAAGAGCACAGGTTGTAGGGAAGGACTGACTCATCTGTTAAGTTAGCTTTAAGTGGAAGAAATAAGGTTTAAGGCCTAAACCAAAACTTGTGTGTGTCACTGTTTAACTGAAACTTGGGATAATCACAGCTCCAAAGGTGTTTCTGTGGAGCCAGGCCCTGCGGATCTCCTTTTCTTGTACAGTGGCAGATGATGATGCAGATGGTACCTGGGGTAGAGTCTGCTCCCTGTTGTGCTAAAAACCCTCTGACTGCTGTGGTGTAAACTCAAACTCACCCTGGTGCAATGGGCAGAACTTGGCTCTCATTGTCAGGGGACTAACCCTGTATAGACCTGCAGGACAGGGTCTTGGCCCTTTGGTGGTGTTCATGTTGTTCAGCTGCTGTGCTTGGGGAGGGCAATGCCGATGTAATCTGACTTTGCTTTGGAGGAGGAATCCTTTATACAAAGGCTTGACCTTGGGGAGTGTTGATGTTACTCCAGTAGCATTTAGAGATGGTGAAAGGTACTGAGCTGACAACCGTGGGGGCTTTGCTAACATGCTTGTCCTCAGCAAGTCCAGAAGTGCTTATGAAAGCACAATTCTGCACCTTCATGCCTCATACTGAAGTAAGCCACTTCTCAAGTGTAACTTTGCGGTTATTGAAGCCCAGCTCTACCCTTCAGGAGGAGCCAGTGCTGCTGCTCTTCCATGAACCAGACTGGGAGATCAGGAGTGACAATTTCTATAGCCAGCACAACTGTATTGGTAGGAAGATGCTGTGAGAGGAACAACTATTGGGTCCTGTATGATTGTAGCAGCTGTTCTCCAAATGGGATGTGGGTAGGGCACAAAGGCTCTAAAAGCAAGTATCATCTCTCATGCCCTCCTGCAGTCAGGGTCTACATCTCTTAACAAAGATTTTTCCCTCCAGTGGTGCAATGAGTTCCATGTTCAAATGCTGACCTGTGAATACAGCTTCAGAATACAGCCTCTGTGCCCAGAGGCACTGAAGGGCACCTGTCTGCTCAGGCCCTACAGTGGGAGATGGGGGCTCTAAATGAGACATCCCTGCCCCTTCTCTACTGTTGGTGAGACTTTCCTGCATGCTGTGCCCTCCCCAGCCTCGCAGCAGGGATGGAACAAGTGGAGAGATTGTGGGGGATTGCCAGGGTTTAGCTGGGTTGCTTTGCTAACAGGAGGTGAGTGAGAAAAAGGTATTGCTGTGTGGTCCCTGCATCTGGCAGGAAGACTAATGCAAAGCGAGTGGGCTGGGAACATATCTGTACCTGCCGTGTAGCTCCTCTCCCACTGGTGAGTCTGTTGAATGAAATGCATCCAATTAACAGCCCAGGAGGATTGATGAAACATGATTAGTCAGGTTCTGGCTGTGTCCCAGGGGCCAGTGAGTCACCCCACCTTTCCCTCCTCCCCACCTGGCAGCTGCCAGCATTGTGTTTGCTCTCCATCGTGGCTACAGTTTGCTCCTGGGCAGGTTTGACTGAGCAGAGACTTCAGGAGGAGAAGGGTGTCTGGGTCAGGATGTCACCAGCCTGCTGCCTAGCAGGACTGTGGGAACCTCAGCTCTAGCTTGTCCTTAAGGCTGACTTGGTAGAGCTGTGACTGGGGGGAAGGCAGGAGTATATTTTACTGTGTGGTGTGGACACAGGGATGTATGTGGATAGCGGAAAAGAGGTAACTGAGAAGGCTGAGCTGGTGACTGAATCCCCCAGCAACCAGCCAAGGAGGGCTCTGTCGGTAGCTGGGAAAGTAGGAGTAAAAGTGGGCCATCTGCCTCTTGTGAGAGTTTATCAAGAGCAGAGCTGTGACACGTGGCTTCAGTCGCACCTCTGAGGACAAGGAGGGGAACAGGAGGGGGTGGAGAGTGAACCCATCTGTCTTCCTGCTGTCTGACAAGGCAGCTTGCCTGACACGGGAAAAGTGCCGGCAAAAAGAGCCGAGGAAATTTGTCTCATCCAGCATAGCAGGGTGTTGATCCAAACAACTAGATTGCAATAGTTTCTTTCTATTACCCTTTGGTTTTGGGAGTGTTTCCCTCCCCTGGTTATTTAGCTGGATTTCCGTTAGTTTCTCTCAAGCAAGACAGACAATGGGCTGTGCATGGGAGGCAGGGCTGCAGGGAAACACGTGGCATTATCTCTGTGCCCTTCTCACTGTGCCTTTCAGATGGACCTTGCAGCACTACAGCTGCCTATCTCTGTGCAAGTAGCTGTGTCCTTTTCTACTTAGTGATGGCTTTTATTCAGGCTCTGCCATCAGTAACGGAGGCACTGAGATGGGAGGAATCGAATAATAAATACAAAGAACAGAACAGACAAAGAGGTAAAGCTGAACACAAACCAGAACATCAACAGACTCTCCAGCCTAACAAAGCTGGCTCTGAAAAATAGGCAATAGGGGTAGGATGTTTGAAGTAGGTCACACCAAGTTGCACAGAGACTGTTTAGCAACTGGAAAGGCCTTACCTTACCCCCTAGGTAGGATGACACCTCTGCAGGTCTTTGATTTAAAGGTTTGTCTTCAAAGGAGAGGCTTTTGTTCACCTTGCACTGTGCTTTGGGGTGATTTAGGGAAGATGGCAAAAAAGCTGTACGCTGTCTGCGTTCTTTGCTAGTTTGCTTGCTGTCTTGTACCTCTCTTCCCAACCTCCCAGCACATCCACAAGTATCCACATCCTTGTCTTCCCGAGGTGTGTTCACCACAGCTTTTATGGATGTATCGGGAAAGGGAGGGACCCCACAGATGGTATTTAGACATGTGTACTAGGAAACCCCTCGGGGACAGGCAGGAGGAACATGAGGGAATAGAAATCATGAGCCTTTGCAGGGTGGTGGGAAGGGACAGGTACCTCCCCTGGGACACCAACTAAATGGAAAGCCTTGTTACTGGTGTTGGGTGCAGGTGTCTCTAGCATGGCTTTCCACATCACATAGATGAGATCTAAAAAGACTTCAGCCTGCAAAGTACCTCTGTACTGTGCCTTGACTTCAGCATGATGAGATTTGGAAAAGGTCTACCCCACCAAGACCCTTTTGAGTGTTTCACCAGCCTAGTGCTGGCTTCCCTTCTTGGTTAGCCCGTGGTGCCCCTGTGGTTTTTAGCACGTGGCTTGGCCATTCTAGGTCAGACTGACTCACTTCAGACGGGAACAGACTAGTTCAGCCATGAACACCTTTACTGTGTAAGCAAGATAATATCTTCAATGTGCTGCTCTCTGAGAGCCCTGACAATTCAGCTTGTTTTCACTTCCCTCATACTTTCCTCACTGCTGATATTAAAGGAGGAAAAAAACCCACCCAACCATTACCACCTCTTTTCACAGAGAAGTCTGCCAGTCCTTCCCTTAACTTCCTTATGGGAGAAAGGTAACAATAGCTTCCCTTGTCCTGAGAGCAAGTCTGGCTTGGCACAGCTCACATCTTTCTTGACCTTCGCTCCCAAGCCCTTTGGGGAGAGTACTGACCAAAGAGCAAAGCAGCTCCGTGAAAACCAGCAGGTGAAAATTTCTCACAGTTAAAATGGGACAAAGATTTTAAAGTCATAAAGCTTGAAAGCTCCGTATGTGTGTGTCTGGCTTTATTGCCCAGGGAAACAGGGGCAAAAAATTGACAGGATACTATACAGTCGTGGCGTGGATGCACTGCTGCGATGGGTACAGATTGACAGAGCCTGGGATGAAAATACAGAGAAACCCTATTACAAGATTTGTTCAATGACTCAAAAGGTGATGTCCTGCATCTGATGATGCCAAAAGTGCTGGTGTTGCACACCAGCCTGCTTTGATTGCCATAGGTGAACAAATGACTGTATGTTCTCTACAGGGTGTAGACAGAAGTATTGGCTGTACTTAAAAATAGCTGAGTGTGGGGTGTGTGCGTTAGGTGCACCTGTAAGTATACATGTGCCTTAGAAAAGTCCGATGCAGTTGACAGCTTTGCTGTGTAAGGATGAATTTCTGTGCTGGGTATATTGTGGGTGGTTGGTGGCATGAAACCAGAAGTGTAGTAACAAATTCGTTTGTGCTGTTTGATTTTAATTCTTTTTTATGTTAAATTAATCTACAGTAACCAGTTTCCCCATGTTTGACAAAGTGTTGAACAATGCCTGCACAGTCCCCTGGGAGCCCTGTGTAGGCTATCAGTGTAATCCCCCGCGTTTAGCTGATCTCTGCTATCTTCTCTAGTATTTGTAATGAGAAAAGTTATTTCCTAATCTCTGACTGTTAAAGTCACATATACAAAACACAGACATTTAATTTTCCCCCTTTTAACTTTGTAAAACATTTGTTATTTTGAGGAAGCTGCATAAGCAACTCTGCTTCCTCAGAGCTGCCTTTTCACAGCTTCTCACTTCACAGATATCTGCATTGTGTTTTTCAGTTGTCTTTAAAACCCTCTGCCTGGGGTTCCCCAATGGCCATGCAGACTGTGAGGCACAAGAGCAGCATGAGGAACTAGCAGTGTGAAAATCTGCTCATTGGCATGAAAAGCCACAAAGCTGGTGTTAGCAGCAGTAGTTTTGAGAATTGCTTGCAGTCCCTTGAAGCAGTGCAATTATCTTCCTGATTTTGCTTGAAATGTTTAGGATTAGCCAGTTCTTGAAAATGTCTTGGTTGCCGAACAATATAGCCCACTGGAGGCAGATGGGGTTGGACCAAAAGACAAAGCGACAGACCCAGGTGAGACTTCTGGTCCCGAGATCTCTCGCTGATGAATGCTGCTAGGATATGAGCACAGCCATCAAAGTTTGCAGGTCAGATTTCTTATTAAAAAAAAAAAAAAAAAAAAAAAAAGACACTGTTTCAAAGGTTCAAGTTTTGAATGAATAAGCTTTATATTGACATGTCGCGTAGGAACCTCAGTCAGGACAAGAGGTGAGGAATCATTGGGCGGTGTTGTCGGTAGAGGTTTTATTCTTCCAGGGGTCAATATTCCCCCTTGAAAATCCTCTTTCTGTCCTTTATCTCTTTTCCATCCTCTTTGGGAGCCCAGTGTCTTGTGTGATAGAGTCCTGCTGGGCAGGAGTGGAAAGAAGCAGCAGTATGCAGCATCTCATAGGCCAAGGGCGGTGTAGGAGCACAGCCCTGTGATGAAAAAAGAAGGCAGCTGGACTCTTGGAGGTGGAAGCTTGTAGTTCATACACTTCACCAAGAACTGCCTGAAGCTTCTGCTTCTCCATTGATTTATAGGTCTGAAGGCTTTCTGCTGCGGTCCCGTCAGAGTGCCCTAGTGAACAGCCACAGTCACAGGCAGTGAACGTGGGGAAAAGTCCTCCAGAAACTGAGTCTGCTGGGTGGATTCTGGTGCCAGTTTCAGACATACACTGGCCTCTGTTGTGCTGTTGTTGTTGACAGAGCTGCTGTTGTGACATGGCTCTTTTGTGGGGCGGATGGCCACTAAGAACTGGCGCTTGAAGGTCTCGCTGAGGGCAATGTAGAGGAAGGGGTTGAGGCAGCTGTTAGCATAGCCCAAGCTAATGGCAAAGTTGTAGGCATAAAAGAAGGCCATGGATGGTGTGTCAATGCCGAGGTGAACCAGCTGGAGGATGTAGAAGGGTGCCCAACAAATAAAAAAGGCAGAGCAGATGGCAACTGCCATGCGAGTGACTTTCTTTGTACGTACTCGGAGGCTCCTTTGGGGCAATGGGACCACAGTGGTGGCCATGTGCTGGAGGATCTTAAAATAGACCACACAGATCACAATCAGTGGCACAGCAAAAGCCAGCATGAACTGATAGAGGGTGAACCAGTAGATATCAGTCTCTGGGTTGGGAAGCAAGAGAGCACAGCGGACAGTCCCATCCTCCAGAGGCATAAGACCTGCGTACATCCACACGGGAATGATGGTCAGGAAGGAGAGGAGCCACACTAAGCAGATGACTAGAGCTGCAACACATGGGGTCCGGACATAGGTAGATTTGAGAGGATAGACAGTCGCCAGGTAACGGTCCAGTGTCATCACAGTAAGAATGTTGGTGCTGGTGATCTGGCTGTTTGTGTCCAAGGCGGTGATGATGGTGCATAGGGGAGCTCCAAAGTACCATGAGCCATTGCCTAGGAGCTGGTGAATGAGGAAGGGCATGCCTAGGAGGAAGAGGAGGTCCACAATGGAGAGGTTGAAGATGAAAATGTCAGGCACGGTCTGTTTGCATCTCAGCTTCTTCTTCTTGACGATAGTGTAGATGACAATGAGGTTCCCCACAATGCCCAGGAAACAGATGATGCTGAAGAGGCTGGGCATGATCACATTGGTGTACTGTGCTGGCTTCTCTGCTACTGTCAAAACAAACCAAAGCAGTGAGTGCAACCCAGAGGCAACCTCTTTACATCTCAGTGTGCTTGTCCTGTCCTGCAGCTGGATCCCCTTCAAAGATGTAGCTTGGAATGATATTTAAGACCCTCTGCTGTACTTGGAGAGGCTTAGCTGGGGATTTGACACTTCCTTCTCTGCCACTCAGTACATGCAGCACACCACCCAAATCTGGCCATGTGTAGGCATCTTTCCTCAGTTCTCCTAATGTAATTCTGTACTGCTCTGAAACTCTCCAGCTCTTTTTGGAGGACTAACATCAGGCTGGTGTGTCTCTGCACTCACCAGTGTCTGACAGTTAATAATAACTTTCCTTTTCAGGGAGTGCTGGTGGGTGTCCAACCATTTTTGAGGGGAGTGCGTGAGGCAGCTGGTGCTTTGCACATTGGAGAAATAAAGCCTCTATGTGGGTGCCAAAATCTGGATATAGTCAGTGTTCAAGCTGTTGTCAGAAAGCTTTAGCTGGTCTGTTGGGTGATTTATCCGTGGTACAGTAAGAGACGGAGTTCATTGGCCATGGAGGCAGATAACTAATGCTTATCTATGTTGTGAGACCTGTACCCTGGCTGTGTCCCAGCTCTGTTGTCAGAGTTAGGTCAGAGCATGCACTCCTTTCCACCTTCCTTCCCTGCCCTTCTCCTTTTCTCTAGTTCTTTTCTAGAAAGAAATTCAGGTGTGTGGCCAGACAGGGATTTGGGAGTGTGTTTCAGAGTGGTCCTTCAACAGGGAATGCCCTGGTTCTACAAGAAGAAAAACATGTCTTAAAGCTGCTCTGAGTTCTGGATGTAGGTGGATTTCCAAGGAAAAATTCTTGTCTGATATCACTTAGCTTGTCAGCGCTGATGCTTGACTGTTGCTCTTTGGGGTGGGAGGCCCAAACATAATCAAATTCACATTTTCCTTGTCCCTAACCTGGGTTTAAAATCATATTTTGATGCCACAGGCCTTCAGTGCCAACCAACAGGGATTTCCACTCTTGGGCACAGAAGGTGGTGTCTAAGGCACTGATTATGGTGCATTCTGTTCTGCAAGACTGCCATGTGCAGTGTGAGATAGAGTCTGAAATCATCTTTCTCAGCTGAGGCAAATATAGTTTTATCTCATTACTCCTCTCCTATGGGACCTGGTGGTGGTTTTTGGTTTTGTTTTGTTTGGTTGTTTTGTTTTTTTTTTTTTTTCTTTTCTTTTAGGGTAAGGCTTTGTGTGAGATATTTGTGTGGCTGTTACAAAGACATGTATGACAGCCCCCACGCTAGACTGCATGTGTCTTTTGTGGAATTGCAGATGATTCAATGTGGTGTTAATTGGAAATGCTCTTACTCACTGTACTATTCCATCTCCTTAGCAGCCTACACCTGTAGGAGAAGTGGGGAAGTCTCCTCCAACAGAACTTGGGGAAATCTTGCAAATGAGATTAAGTAAAATAACATACTCATAAGGTGATGTCTCTGTCAAAGTGGTGTCTGTTTGCTGAGGTGGTATTTGCTGAATTTGACCTTTAGAATTCTTGAGTACAAACTTCTACAGATTCTCTTTGGTGTGGCAGAGAAGCGACTGAATTGGCAAGATAACTGGGGCTACACTGCTGGCCTGGCCTGTGGCTGGAAAAGTGTGTACCATATCAATTGTATGTAATACTTCAGTGCTCTTAGAAGTGGGACATGCTGAGCTGCCACTGTCTCAGTCCTTCTTGCTCTAGTAAGCAGCAGCCATCTTAGGCATAAGCAAGGCCAAGGTCAGAATCCAGTAGAGGGTTTGCTGCATCATTTTATCAGAAAGCCTCCATGCAGATGATGGAAAACAGCCAATGAGGCATAGAAGAACTGGCAGGGGCCTGAAGGTGAATGCTAGGCTTGGTTGAGAAGACAAAAAAGCCTGGTCCAGGACATTCATGGTGGTGTAAATGATCCCTTTTCCTCCTGGCTGCTCATTAATGCTAGGAAATGCCCCCTGTTACTACATGGCTTTTGGTAGGTAACATACTGTCATCAGCACCCTATGAGACCTGATACTCTTCAGCATCCAGCCTGTGCATCCCCTGAACTTCTAAACAGATCTCACACCTCCTTAATGCTTGAAGATGGAGGACTAGGAATTGGAAGACAACAACTATGGTCTTGCCGTTCTGCACGTAGCTATTTTGAGTTCTTTCTTTTTAGCCCCCTTTGTTATGAATGTGGTGGGAATGGATTGTATGAGTGAAATGTAAAGGCCGCTTGGTTAGCTGGAAATTGGGACAAAACGTCCTTTTCCTGCAGTATAATCAATACAGCGCTCATGGTGATCCTGTAACATTTGGAATGAGCTCAGCTGGCCTTAAAGCAGAATGTGTGCAAGCCCAAAGGCTTTGTGTGAAAGCTAGTGTGTATGGACCTGTAGCCTCTTTCCTGCTGTTTGCATCTGTACAAACAGGAACTTTAGGTGTTTTTAGCTGGAAGCTAGTGTAAAGCTATAGTTCACGTGTGTATTATAGGTTGGAGCCAGAAGTGCATGACTATCAAATAGTCAAAATTTATCTCTTTTCTAAAGCTTCTTTCATCTTGAGATACCACTGAATCTGAATTTTCAGTGCTGCTTCTGTGCACATCCAAGTAAGTGGCTGCACTTTGTTTACTGAAACAGATACCTCAGGCATTGATTTGTCCTTGCTTGTAAATCTGTGGCTGCCTTGTTACTCTTTTTAAAGTCCCAAAAGGGACTGCAATATGTGAACTGAATGAGGACTGGCCTAATTTTTTTTTTTTTTTTTTTTTGTTTACTGTAAGGCCATGCCTGGATACATAAGAAACTACATCTTTACTGCATTTCAGAAGGAAGCACCTAAGGCACACTTTCAGTTTATAAGGGACAGGCTGGTGGAGAGGGAGGCAGAGCCCACATATCTAACACCTTCTGTCAAAGAGTTTCACCAACTTGCGCCATCGAGAATTGGCCTGCCTGACCCTGAGCTATTGATTTGGGAACAGTGGCAGTGTGGAGAAAACCGGAGACTGATGAGGACCTCAGCTCAGCTTCCCTCTCCAGAGATGTCTCCTGTTCCCCTCCCGGTCCAGCCGGGCTGGCTCAGCTCTTGGCCGCAGCCGGGACCAGTGGGCTGCGGGGGTTACAGCTGTCTCACAGCCGGGAGGTAGCGAATCGCTTCAAGCCCCCGGGGCTCAGGGTGCTGCTCGGGCGTTATTTGGGTGCTGGGGGGGGGGGGGGGGGGGCCGGCACCCCCAGCCCCCCCTGCCCCGCGCCCGGAGCTGTCCGCCCCCGGGTGCTGAAGGCGGCAAGCCCCGGCCGGCAGTGGGGGGGGGGACACGGGGGGGTGCCCCTGTGTTCAGCCTCTCCTGCTTCACAGGGTCCCCGCTGAGCACGACTGGTGTAAGAGCCATGTGCAGGCGGATTTTCCCCCCCCATTCCAAGCTCTCCGTGCCCCCTCAGCCCCGCGCAGCCCCTCCTCACCTGAGCCGTTCCGAGCCTCCGGCGTGGAGAAGTTGCGGGAAGAGTTGGTGGGGGCCATGGCGATGAGTCCCGGTGCCAGGGATGGAGCAAGTTAGGCAAGTTCCCTCGGTGGATCCGCGGTGGCGATGGGGTGAGCCACCTCCACCACGGAGCGGAGGGGCTAGGAGCCCGGCTGCGGCTCGCCCGCTCTTCGCCCCGCTCGCCCACTCCCACTCCGCCAGCCCCCGCGTCGGGTGGGAGGGAACGGCGATGCTGAGCGGGGCCGGGGGCAGCTGCCCTCCGGGGGCTGCAGCGAGCGGCCCCTCACATCACAGCCCCTCGCATCCCCGTGCCGCCCCCGAAGGGTTGGTGAGGATCTGCGCCCTCCCAATTACAGCCAGCCTGCTCTCGCTATCGTCAGGAGGAGAGGAGTAGCAGATTTTGCCTTTGAAGTAGCTCTGGTCTGCTGCCTTCAGTGTGTGTTCTTCTCTCTTGCAGACACACACGCGCTTTTTATCCCTGAGTCACAGGCGCATCCCCACTAGTGAGGCTGGGGGATGTCAAAGCACCAAATTACCCACTGAAAACTGTTGCTTTGACCCTCTGACCCCTCTAACTCTAATTTCAACCTGAGACACTTCACTTGTAATTAATTTTCTGCTGTTTTCTGCTGTTCCACTTCTTGCCACAGCTCATTTGTTTCCTAGCTCCAGAAATTAGCTCTACTGCTAGCTCAGATTTTATTTATGTTCTATTATTTTTTGCCTTAAAAATACTAGGCAGGAACTCCCTTGGGTTTTGAGAAGTTGCTTTGCTCTTTTTCTTTGCCTTGCCAGAGCAGTAGCCTGCTCTTTTCTGTGGCTTTGAGCTGATGATTTTGTTGTGCTTCCTGCCCACTGCTTATATATGAGTTGGATTCCTCCATTATGGTTTGGTCAATCATGTTACCAGGGCAAAAGGATCATTCTGTACCTCTGAGCACTTCCTGCATTGAAAAAGCCACGATACCATGTCAGAAGTCTGCAAGAAACCCAGCAGCAACAGGCAGCTTTTCTTTGTGGTAGTGCAGTGTAGGGGATTGGGTTTGCTTTGTAAAAACTACATCTGTCTGTCTGGAAATCTGCCTTGCTTCTGTGTCTTTCTCTGTAATTGCAAAGGCTGGCGTCAACTGTAGGGACCATTTTTTGGAGCTTCATAAGGCTGTGTCAGTCAGGACTAGAAGTGATACGTACCCTTAAAAATGAGGTCCAACACACACACCAGCAGCGATCCCAGCATGGGCTGTAAGCCAGATTTGGCAGCAGCATTTTCAGTGTGGGCCTTTATCTGTGTAAGCCAAAAGAGTTCATCATTATTAGGTTGTCCTCTAGTGGACCAGCAGCAGACAGAAATCTGGAGCATGCTTTGCCCAGGCATTGTAGCTCTAAAGAAATGGGCCCAACTTGTCTGCTGTGCTGGGAGGTTTTTCTCCAGTCTCTGGAGTTGCGGCAGTCAGTGATTTGCCCAAGAGGATTTTCCCTAACAGGTATCCATGGTATATAAGACAGTTTTGAACCTGTCCAGCTTGCGAAAAAGTGGTGCGTATTGGTCACTTAATATTTTCTTAAAAGACCCTTTTTTTTTTTTTCCCCCTCTCATGACTCGGGCAAATGTTAGTGTTTATCTATATGGAGTTGCTACTGCAAAGCAAGCTCTGGGATGACAGAACTAAGGCGGGAGAGCTCTTGCGAACAGGGTGCTGTCATCTGCAGTGATTGCCTTCGTGTAATTTCACTTAATCCAGTCTTGAAGTACAGAGTATGAGTGTTTTCATGGGAAACTGGTGGGCAGTTGCTATTCCAAACATTTTCCCTGTGTAGACAAGCTCCTACTCACTCTCCCTGCAGAGGAACGAGCTATCTTACAGCTTTCAAAGGAAGAACCTGACATTTAAATTTAGCAGTTTCCAAAGCACAGCATTATTTTTAATTTGCAGTCTCAAATATTGCTGTGCATTTAGAAACCGTCTTGCATTTGAGGAAGCTGTAATTCCTTCTTCTCGGCTGTAGGGGCATAATAAACCTCAGCGGCACCATCCCTGATGCATGTGTCACAGCTGCAATGACAAAGCCGTGCTCAGCACTTGATATTCACTTCACCAGAATGGCTATGTGACTGTTTTATTGTTGGGCTTTTATATTCAGACTTTGACAAGGTTTGGTTGTTCTCCCTTTTGCCATGTCAATAATCTATGGAAGCTCTTGCCCCAGAGGGGCGCTGGTCTGTAAAACCAGCCCCACCAAGTTGAAAGGATAGAGAGACGGAGGGGAATATTAACTGCAGCAACTGGTGATGCACAGCCTGTCTGTGCATAAAGCTCGCCATCGCCAGAAGGAGCAGGCACAGTAATCGGCTCATTATCTGGCTGAACACTTGAAGGCAGCAGCTCTCTGAAGGACTAGTTCAGTGAATGCTCATCTACTGGAAAATGCAGCTGGGACAAGCTCTCAAGAGACCCTGGGATATAGCTGCGGAGTAGTACTAACCATTCCATGTAATTACAAGGAAGATTGAGGCACTAACCCCTTGAAAACACATCTTAAAAGAGAGATACAGTAATTAACATTTAAGCAGGGAACTGCCATCTCGACAGCCTAATGATGTGGATAAAGGTGTGGAAATGGAGCTCAGCCCTTGAACATAAAAGAAAAAAAAAATTACTTCTTCCTACAAACTTGGCATCACCACTATCTTTAGCCTGTCCTGTCTGCAACATCACTGTTATGAAGAAAGATAATAATCTTCCAAAGCTGCTGGTAGGCAAATTCTGTGACTAGGCAATGAATCTGGCTGGTCTAACAGTGGTTTAACCCTGAAAGGCTCTCGTGTTTCAGTAATGAGTTATATTTCCTGCGTCTGTCCCAGCTGGAGATCCTGTCTTACGCAACACAAGTAGAACCACAGCATCCTGTGGGGCAGAAAGCAGTGCTGGCTTCTGTTACTGAGCTACTGAAACCATTTCCCCAGCTCGTTTCACCAAATAATTTCTCATTAAATGGAGACTTTCTCATTTGCTAAATATTTACTTAGCACCTAGCTACTACTATGATTTGCACTCTGGAGAGAAGAGCCTTCACTAAAAGCCAAGTTGCAAATCCTTCCCTCTAACTCACTGGTCTTCTCATTCACAACTCCAGATTTACAGAATGGGTCTCTGCATTTTTCTTGCTTAGCTCCTTGTCTTTGTTTATATTGATCGAATAGCTTAATGGGTGAAGTTTTGCCCTTGCACTGGCCTCAGGGGTAAGGATGATTTCATTCAGGATGTGTTAGACATGGTGTGTCAACCCTCCATACTGTCTGAGTACTTGAATATTGTTGTCTCTGTCTGATAGCTGCACATCAGTCTCACCCCTTTTCAGGCAAGATTGGTAAAGTAGTTTCCAACTACTGATCCGTTTCGCCTCCCTTGATTCTGGAAAGTGAGTCTTTGCTATCACTTCTCGTCTACAGGGAAGGAAAATGTTATCTGGCAAAGTTAAATAATTTCCCTAAAGCCACATGCTGAGCTTGAGGTCAAAAATTGACAGTAATTCTCTCTACAGCAGCGCTAGCTTAGGCAACATCTTATCCATCTTCCTGCAATGATTATCCCAGCACAACTGTTTGTATCCCCACAGAGGGATGTGTGCTGAATGTAATCATTTGATTAAAAAAACCACACAGAAAACCCAAAGGTTTGAAGGAGTAGCTTTGTCAAAGACAACTTGATAAGTGACTCAGGCACTGCTGTCATCGATCTAGATGTGCACTGCATATATGGTCTGGCTGATTGGAAAGAAGTTGCTGTCATGTCTTGATGCCTGATTCGATACATATCAGTGCTACCGTGTGATCTGGTACTACCCTGAGCTGGTGTGAACGAACACGGAGCTATGGCCTGAGACTGAGCCATGAGCAAACCCCTGATTTTCCAACTCCCAGACTCTGCTTTCTCTTATGCGTGTGTCTCTAATGAAAGCAGCAGGGTGAAGCCCCTTTCTCAGCTGCTATCCATAGTCACAGGTGGCTTTACAGGAATACTTAGCTAAACAACCATCTACATCTTCCTGTTATCCATGCTGGATTTCTAATTAATTAGCACAAAATGGGCATTTATCTGAAACCAGATGACCACCTCCTTTCTCCCTGCAGGCTTCCTGCCCTTGAAATGACAGGTCTGAGCTGCCTGGTCAGTCCTGGCTCATTCCAGTCCCACGCTGCTAATTTGAGGTTTTAGCCTTCAGCTTCTGCCCATCCCAGTTGCTCGCAGCCAGCCAAAGGCCGGGGCAGCAGCCTTCTGTGGCTTTGTTTTCATTGCTAAAGGTTAGACGATCCCAGAGACAAAAGCCCAGCCAAAAATAACAAGAAAGGGCCAAGCAGGGCTTGCCCTGTGACAGGGAAGCCGAGAGGCTGGTGGACTCCCCCGGCCATCCACAGCCGATATGCTGAGGTCAGGGATGTGGATGTGTGCTTGGCGAAACAGGCAGATCCCCTCGAAGCTGCCGGCAGCTCCCGGCGTCGGACAGAAACAACCAGGAGCCCCCAGGGAGGCAAATCCTGCTGCAGGGTGTACAGTGTTAGTTACTGTGCTTCCCTTTTACAAGAACAGGCATTAGCAGAAGGAGGAGGCAGCTGTAACCTGAATTCCTCCTGAGTCTTAACAGGGATGGGGGAAAGTTTTGGCTCAGGTCTGTAGCTTGTGGATAGCTGTGACTGGGGCTCCAGAGGAAGCAGAGCAGGAGGATTGATCCAGGGGGGTTAATGACCAAGAGTGGATGTTTGCCCAAACCAAAATGAGCGCTTTGCCACCCTTTTCAATGAGAATGATGAGGTTGAACTTGGAAATGGAAATTACAGCTCAGAGATGAAGCAAAACTAAAAATCCTGAGAGGCTCAAGTCAGGGAGATGAGATAAACTCCAATCAGTGCCTGGAAAGAGATGTCACATGAAATTGCAAATCTAAGCGCAAGGATTTATGACAGAGCTAATGAAAGGGGAAAAAAAAAAAAAAAGGTGGTGTTTTATAATCAGACTGCAATCCTGCTGCCTAATTCTGAGCAGAGGCAGGAGGGAGGAAAGCAGTAATAGCTTATTTTGGAGCTGTGGTACATTGAATCTACCTGAAGTCTAGTAAAGTGTTTGATACAGCATCTTCCAAGAAATTCTTAGATTGGAGAAGACATGGAGAATCACAAAACCTGTAAAATGAATAAGGAATTGAATCACAAGTGACTCTGAAGTGTTGTGTTGAGAGGGGGGCTGCTAGCAGTGGCAGCA